CTGTATTATTATATATACACTCTGTGCATAGTTTCCTGTACCCCTAGTCTGAAATTGACAACTAGAACCAGAATTGACTAGCAGACATCAGAGCTGTCTGGAGGCCTTCAGGGCTCCATACTTAGGGAGGTGTAGGTAATATATTGAATTGAGGGGGTGGTGACCATCGAGGGAGTCAGAGGTGATTACAGGATATGGGGGCTCCAAGGTTAGTGACGAAGGAGTGGAGGTATGGAAGGATCAGAGGTAGTGGAGGATGATGGCCATAGATGGATATGACAGTTGATATCAACAAGGGATGAGATACATAACAACTTAGGATTTATGATGAACTGGACTGGTGCAATATTGGCCTCTTGATATTGGTCATGCTTCTGCTTCTTAATCTGTGGCTTTTCCTTGTGTGCTTTCATGGTTGTTGGTGTTGATAAAAAGGCTAGAAGTATGAACTCAGTTCATGTTATCATATACCCTCTTGGGACATTTCTGAAAGAGATGCTTTGCAGCACCACTGTACAGGAGTTGGTTCTCAAACTATGTATGCACACTGCCCCAGTGGACATATACTATGGCAAACATTCAAGCTGTCTTGATTGGACATGAACATTATTTAACATGAGATTGATAGAGTAAAATGTATAAGATGAAATGGAGGACTAGCAAGTTTATCACTGGTGTACAAGTATTTAATACATGATTTGTGTGAGATAGACAAGAGATAACCAACTCACCTCAGTCCCATTGTATGTGGACTGAGGGAAGGTTGGGTTGTCCAAAAATTAGGTTTATAGTCAGGCACCATGTGTCAGGGCACGGACGGTTATCCGGCTGGCCCAGGCCCCTATCCGGATAGGTTGAGTACCCGTAAGCCGATATCTGCGTGTGATTTGCCGTAGTTAGAACGCAGGCTGTATTCAATGCACTATTTCCGCTATCACGTCATCCCTCACCTGTTATTGCCCCCTTATCCACATGATCTATTCTCCTATTTCATGTCGCTTCTCTATCGGCTACCATGTGTTCCCAATGTAGCCACGCTCTTATGAGTTGCAGAACTCATGTATATAAGGCCTTATTGCCAGCTGGGTTGGCCCCCAGCTTTTACAACGACTAGTTTCCCGGGGAGATTCTTATGCGCGAACTGACGTGCAGACTCTGACACCATGGCACACTGACTTTGGCAGCAATGTAACCAAGAATGAAAATCTAAGATGCCACATGACTCAGCATCAACAAACATGAATTGGTCAAAGCATACACCATAATACCAAGAATTCTAACATTTCATGTTTTCCTTTTTTAACAGGCTAGGTCATCTGTGCCTAGGACAGCATGGCAATCAACCAATCTCATCATGTTTGCCATTATTGTCTTCAGGTGTTGTGTCTGACAACAGAATTGTAGTGCCTAAGCTCATCAAACTCTTTTACATTTCCATTTCACAATCTCTCCAATTATGAGCTCCTCCAATACCTCAAGAACAAAACTCCTCCCCTTGCCAACCAAGTGGGAGGTCCAGTCAGCACTGTCCCTGTGACAGGCCCTTCCCTTTCACCTCCCCACACATAGCTTGACTCTGTGATGCTGCAAGCTACTGGTGGTCTAAATTCAATGCACCATCTCTGCTTATTCCACCAATCTTAGGTGCTAGGATTTCAACAGATTCCACAACTCCGAACCTGGCTTACCTCCAAAATGCCAACCTGATAGCTTGGGGAATGCTTTGAATAATTTGGGGGTATGAATGCTGCCCAATTTCTATTTCATTCTTATTTTCCATTGTTTAGACATCCTAATCATGTTACATTTTGTTTTTATTCTAATTCTTTCAACTTTACAGTGTTGTTCATTTGGGCTTAGTACCCATTTTGTGCTGCTAAGCCAACCCAACAGGGCATTTTCAATGCCCCCATATTGATCTTGGGGGCCCCTTGCCACAACATGCTATGATGCAGGCTGTGACTCAAAGCTCTTGCTTATGCATTCACTTGGGGTTGGGGCCCTGCTTGTGTCATGGTGCAGGTGATAAGAGGCCCCAGGGGCCCCTTATTGAAAACACCCTGTTGGGTTGGCTTAGCAGTGCAGAATGGGTACCCTATAGAGCCCCACCCCTGGCTCTCTTGTCCCTATCATGGTGTCAGGGCACGCCGCACCGTACCGCGCTGCACCCTCTCTGCCCTCTCTTTCTCCCTCTCTCTCCTTCCTCCTTTCCTTCTTTCTCTTCTCTCTCTCTCTTCTTTCTATCCTTATATGGACGACCTCTCCCTTTTCCATATTTGTAGCACAGATGTGTCCAATGCTGAGCACCCTGCATGGGTGCTGTGATGCCGAGCATGCCATGCGTCCCTACTTGTATTTCTCCTCTCTTACACCTGGGATAGACCACAGAGTTGCCTGCAACAACCTGGCTTTGTCCAAGGTCGACATGGCACTTCCACATGACCCATTTTCACATGTATATAAACCTAGCCGAAGCAGGACCAAAGAAGCAGCCTTCTTCTCATTCCCGCTTCAGGCACATATTTCAACCTAGTTTAGCTTTTCACCTTAATGACAATACATTCCCACTTCAGCCTAAGAAGCCACATAGGGACACCAGCCCGAGTGAGGGCTACCTGCCATATGGTCTCACCACCCTGCCGCTGTCCAGGCCGCTAACGCCGAGTGTTATGCCACTACCCCTGCCTCTTCAGAGCCATCCCTGACACATGGCCATATAGTTGGCAAGTCTTTCATGGTGTCATTGGTTTCCAAGTGCTTGTATATTTTTATTCTTGGTTCTGTGGTGGTGTTTGCTCTTATCAGTCAATGACTGTATGGGCTTCCAACCAGTCTTGGGTGAGTTGTTCTCCCCACAACTTATCGTTATGCATGGTCATCCCCCAGTCAATTGTCAGGGATGCATCTGGAGCCAAGGTGGTCTGGGTATAGTGCCTGGTGCTGAGGACCTCACAGGGTGGACTGGGTGTGCATACTGGCAGGCCCAATATGGGACAGCTGTCCCTGGCCACTCAGACTGAAGTGGGAAAGATGTACATATTGTCACTGAAAGGGAAACTAAACTAGGTTAGGGTACTTGCCTGAAGTGGGAAAGATGAGAAGAAGGTTGCTTCTCCAGTTCCCACTTTGGCTGTGTTTATATACATGTACCCAGGGTCACATGGGAAGTGCCACATCACCCTCACATACAGCCACAGCCATCTGGGTGTCTCCATGGGAGATCCCAAGGGCATCTGCTGCAGGCATGTGATGGGTGTACACCTGGGTCATCTGCACACCTGGGACTGGGCATGTTGTAGGTGTCATATCCATACAATCCTGACCTCCACTCTGGGCTCCCAGAACTCTGAAACTGACTCTGGACTCCCACTTCCCTTCCATCACCTTTTCCTTGCCAACTCCCAAGAGGTTGTCCCACCTCTGGCTCCAACACCACCTTCAGTCTGACTCCAGACCATTCCAGGTCTGACCTCGACCATGACACCTTCCAGATGAGCACGCAACATCTATGCTCCCAACTCCGGACCTCCACTCTGGCATCCCATTCATGTCTCCACCTCCAGTCTTAGCTCCAACCTTGGACTGTGACCCCCAAACTGGACCAATTCCCTTTACCCTCTTTCCCTGACCCTGCTGGATACCAATCCAGTCCCCATCCTTTCCTGTTTGCCTGATGGGTATATGGCTACAATTTTGTATTTGGAATATGACAGTGGGAACTACTGGATCCATGTGCCATTGAACCATGGGAAAGTTCTGGGTGAGCAGCTCACCCAGAATCTTCCCATGGTTAGTTAGTTTGTCAACCTTGCCTTGGCTATATTTCAGTCATTATATTCATGATCATCCCTGTAATGCTTAGTTTACTGACACTGATTGGGTGCTATGATCATCAGTTGGTTCTCAGAAGTCCCATGAATAAGCAGTTATGGATACTGGGTGCACCACACTTGTGGTCCAAAAATGCATGGAAAATGATGATCCACATGTAAACACCTTGACAGTTTTTTTTGGTGGATGGCCCCAAAGGAAATAAGCAAATGAATTATGTGAGGTCTCAGTGGGGTAGCTCAGCACACAGAGCTGTAAGTGATATGAAGGTGTGTATTTTACAGTGTGTGTAAGCAGTTAATGGAAGTTACCACTTACCCACGTGACTATATGTACCTCATAATTACATATGGCTCGGGGTTCAGGGCTATTGCCCTGACAAATTAGCAGCCAATCAATTCCATAAGCATAACAGGCTTAATGAATGAATAAACTAAATTGGGCAAGCATGATGTGATGTGGTTGCTTATTTTTCATTGCTCATTGCTGCTGATTCTCATTTCAAAACCATCACTATTGACATTTTCCACTGCTATGGAATCACTGATCTAGGACAACAGCTGGGTCCCCACTGAGCTTGAAAAGATGGCATCATACTTCCAATGGCATTTAACCATCCCCATCCCCTGTTGGGGACAAACCCTGGGTCCCCATGACCCCTCTCTATGGCCCACAGCCTAACCTGTAAACACAGCCCATCTCAGGGCATAACTACTGTGGGTAAGAAAGTGAGAAGCTTAACTTCTCACTTTCCCACAGTGGCCCCAATATGGTGAAAAGGGAACCGGGTCTGGAGCATGTGGCACACAGAGCATGTGGGGCGGAGTGCACATGCAGGTCCGGGTCCAGGCTAGTCAGGGTGTGTGCCCTGACATCCCCCCTCTCAGGCCTGCCATTGGAGGCCATCCAAAGCTGTTGCTCTGGGATTGAGAACTGGATCAAGGACTGAAAAACCCTTACAAAAGATGAGGAGAAAAAACAGGCAGGGATGTCCCCAACATCTACATCCCCCTCATCATTACATAGGTTTCACATACTTCCTGCAAGTCATATGTTTCTTTTCTTTGGGCTCCTTCAGACAAGGCTAGCCCTAATGTGGATGCAGTACTCATCCACCACCCCAACATATCCAAATCCTGTTGAGATCCCCAGTCATCCACAGTGAGTACATGGACACAAGTGCAAGATCCAGTACTGGGTGCAACAGTGCTGTCTTGCCCTCCTTGACTACACCCCTGCAGGTCAGGAAAGTGCACCAGCCCCAAGAAGCAGATGGAAGAATTCTTCCCATCTCACTCCTTGCTGGCAACACAAATTGGCTTTTGAATAAAGCCAAATCATTCAAGGTGCTTGCTGGCCAGTGCTGCTTAGGAGCAAATATCCTTTATGCTGCATGGGGCCTCCATCAGATTCTTGAGTTAGGATCTGAGTTCCTGACAAGCCCCCCCCCCCAAACTGCTGTGAGTGACCCTTCCTAATGATCCTACAGCATGAACACATTCAATGGATGAAAGATGAAAAGTAAGTATATCGTATTGTTTCCATTCACACTTGCTCACACAGCACCAGCAGCTCTCCATTCATAACATTGGGTCTGCATTTCTCTTTGTGTCCTTCTCATGGACACCACCATGAATTGGGCTGGCACCATGCCCACATGGACATCACTGGTGTCACATGTTTGTCAGGGGGCCCCCTTCCCCTCTATTTCCTGTGGGGAGGTTGTGATGGAGAACACAATCCTCCAAGTGGTGGTGAGTGTATGCAAGAGAGGGGTCTAGCAGTACAGGACCTCTCCATCCTAACAATGCATGGACTTATCTCAATCACACCTCAAGTCCCCAAGCTCCCCCTCAGGATATTGACCTGATGCAAGAAGACACTGTTGACAAAAGCACATGTGCTTGCAGCACTCTGCAGGCCACTCTGACAGGTACAAGGCCCAAGCCACTCAAATGCCAAAGAGAAGAAAGGGAAAGAAGAAGGCTATGGCTGAAGACGAGTCAATTGAGGATAATGACACAGCTGCCACTGTCATGAAGGGGTCCACCTCCAGAGGGGGGATAATGACTGGCATAAGTTCATCACTGAGTTTGCTATCCCCAACCTCGACGACATCAATGATTGGCCTGAGCTGGCTGTCCTGCATGTTCCCAACCCTACCCCACATCCTTCTTCTTCTCACTGGACTGAAAAGGTGCATGTCCAGCATGATTGCATCATGAACATCAATCTAATTGATGACCTCTCATTCATGATGCAGGTGCTGTATAGCTTCACCTTCCCTTGTGTCTCCACCCTTGATGATGATGATATAAAATATCAATGGAACATGGAGACATTCCAGCTCCCTAGGAAACCTGATTCCATGAGTCCCTTCGGAGGACACCAATGCTGGCCACTGTGGGGTCATTTACAGCTCCACACCTGGATGAAGATGGGGTTGGCACCATCCTGCATTGCATTGCAGGTTACAAACCGATGTTCTTCCCCATCAAATTGGAGGACCCCTTGATTGTCAGGTACAATGACTTGGATACCCAATGCAGCATTGGATTCAAGTACCTGTTCCACTACCCAAACCAGTGTGGGTGCTTTGTCCTCTGCCCAGGGCAAGCACTGCAGGGTTTATCTTCCCTCCAGCGATTTTCCATGGTTGTTGCTGATCTTGTTTTCTAGCATCGTGGCCCTGGCCAGGTCCATTTCATCTTCATGGTGTCATAGGAGAATTGAGCATAGGGGCCCTGATGCAAGGGTCGTTTTTCCTCTCTGTCATATCCATCCATGGCCATCACCCTCCACTACCTCTGGTCCTTGCGGACTACCTCCACTCCTTTGTCATCAACCTCAGAGCCTCCAGATTCCACAATCACCTCCAACTCCCCCAATGGTCACCACCCCCTCAATTCAATATATTACCTACGCCTCCCTAAGTATGGAGCCCTGAAGGCCTCTGGACAGCTCTGATGTCCGCTAGCACACCCTGCCCCCACTGGGCAACTTAGTTGCTTGCCCTGCAAGTCTACCTCCAGGCTGATCCCTCCTTTCCATTTCTGGGTCATAGCCTGTCATTCCGCTAAACCCGTAACCCAACTTGTCAGTAATATTCAGTCAGCTAACATGTAACTCTGTTAGCTCCCTCTGCTTGGTCCCACCATTCACAAGCCCGCCCCTATGTAACTATATATACATAACTTGTAGATAGGTTACACCCCAGTGATAAAATTGACTAGAGTTTCCCTCTTCTAGTTCTCTTTGCCAGGTAGTAAATTAGGGCATGGATGTGTAACTAGGCACAGCGCTCTTGGTCTAGTCGCTGAGGCCAAAGCTGTCATATCTGTGCATACCCAACCCAACCCAACTCCCAGACCTCCTCCTTCACCACCTCTGGAGTCCTACCCTACTGCTGTCCATTCCGATATTCACCTCCGGTCCTGGCACCACACCTCTTCTCACCCCCCATGCCACCTCCACTCCTCCGTCCCTCTCCTGTCCTATCTCCATCCACTCCAATACCCACCTTGGACCAAACACCACCCCTCCCTCCACCCTCCTACTACTACTCCTCCTACTCCTCTGCTCCCTCCTCACAACACCTCCACTGTTACAGGAATGGGTTCCGGGGAACCCAACCTGAGCCGTTTGGCTCACTAATGGAGGTGGCTGCATAGCCATTGGAGGGAGAGCGGAATAGGATGAGTGTACGGAAGTACAACCTGTGGGTTGGCCAACGGTAACTTGGCACTCCTGGGAGCGTACCGGTAGCGAGTATGATGTGGGCTCCTTGAGGGAGCCACCTGGCTGTCTGCTAACAGGGACTTGGCGCTCCTGGGAGCGTGCCGGTAGCGGGTGTGCTGGGAGTGTTTGGCTAACAGTGACTTGGCGCTCAATGGAGCGTGCTGGTAGTGAGGGATACTGGGACTCCCAAAGGGAGTCACCCAGTTGGTGGCTGTTAAAGAAATGGGTTGAGGGTAACCCACATCTTTCCGTCCTTATAGATGACTTAGAATCGTCCACCTCATGTATGTAGGGCAGTTTAGTCATGCAATTAGAATTATCCGATGGCCGTGGAGCTTTTGACAGAAAGCTGAGACCTCGCGGTGAATGGGAGCCTGCTACAATGGATACTTGGTGCTCGTTACGTGAGCGTACCGTGTGCAGGTGTATAGGATCACAGGTTGAGAGAACGTCCTGAACGAGACTAGTCGAGGACATAGGGCTAGCGGGTACTTGGCGCTCAAGGGAGCATACCGGTAGCGAGTGAGATAACGACTCCTTGAGGGAGCTTCCTGAGAATTGATTGACAGGTACTTGGCACCCAATTGGGTGTACTGGCAACAAGTGGTGTTCCAGCTCCTTGAGGGAGCTGCCAGGGGCTGGGTTGACAGATACTTGGCGCCCAGTTGGGCGTACCAGCAACAAGGTATGAGACCATTCATCTGGCGGACGGTCTGTATACATGCCAACGGATACTTGGCGCTCGTAAGGGCGTACCGGTGACGGAGGAGTTAGTCGTTCGTAGGTCGAACGACACATGGTGGGTTCGACGGCTACTTGGCGCTCGCGAGAGCGTTGAAAGAGGGCTCGCGGCTCTCTATGCCGACTAAGCTCGTGGGGCCAAACTCTCCCTAAACCTCTACTTTCTTGACTATACTCTGCTTATCTCGATCCTTAACTCTGTGGTGAGTTCTCCGGGATTTCCGCAAGGTCCGGGCTCAACAAATCCACTACCCACTCGTTGCAGGCTAGATTGTTGCCCTTATTCCTACTGTTGGAATCCACTCACTCACACCCACTCTAGCGCGTCCTAGCACCTTAGAGAAAATGGGGGAGGGGAGAACTTCTTTTTCCAGAATCCGGTATGTACAGGATTATAAGAAATAATTATTTTTAGAATGAATAGATGGGGAATATTGGTACCATATGGCACCTGGGTACCTTATTAGGCGAAATAATAAAAAGAAGGGTAACAGTAACAATAAAAGAATATCAATCAATATCTGAAATGATGGCAAAATATGAAAATAAAAGAAAATAAGCGATATCTCAACGGATTTACGGAATTAAAAACCGAAATTGGAAATGCAGCCGGAGATAACTCTCACACAGCCGATAAGCATTTTTACCAATTTATTAGACGCTGTGGGAACGAGTGAGGCTGGAATTCTGGGTTGCCGCTTGAGATTCCCACGCCCGCACATACTCGTGACCTGCCATGCCTAACATGCCCAACATAGAACTCCGTCAAACCTCCACCGATTGGGACGTTCTTGATATCGTCGGAATCGTACGAATTAGCACTATTTTTGGATACCAAATCTGTACTGAGTCGTCGCATGAATGGAAGTAGATTTCTGAATGTTGGAAGCGGGTATCCGAGCCGGCTCTGTGCGTGGGCGATTATCCCGCCTACAGCGTACCGGCGACGAAGGGAGCGGGCTTGTATCAAATACCCATACATCTGTAGAGTTAACCAGATGCTCACCATAAGGTGAGACAGACGTGGGCCCAGTACCTGGGCAAACGACATGAGTCGCAGCAAAAGGTGATCGCGCATACCTGAGTTGAGTCACATGCGAACTCGATGATCCGTGGCTAGAGTCGTCAACCTCGGCAGGGATGACCCATATAGACGACAACCGAGACATACACAATCTTACACAGACGATACAGTGTTGGCACAAGGAGGTTTACAGTTGTTGCACAGCAGAGGGTGGTGTGTTATTCGTTAGGTTCCGTCTTTTCGGCTCTTGCCGTACATAAACGTGATGCTAACTATTGAATAAGAAATGATCGCAAGAAGTCTCACGAAATAGAATAAATATTCCGGCCAGCACCAAAACCCGATAAGGGAAAGCTTAGCGCGGAGTGAACGTGTAGAAAGGGGGGTAACGGGGAGAAGGTAACAAAGAGAAGGGAAGATATGGAGAAGGAGGACCCGCCATGGTGGACGTTCAGTCAACACGGTCGCGAGAGACTCCATTCCTGTAACAGTGGCTATTGGTGACTTGGCGCTCATGGGAGCGTACCGGTAGCAGGAGTTGTTGGGGAAAGCGGGCTGGTGGACCAGTGCATGGTAGTGGGTGACCGTGGGAATGTCAGGGCACACCCGCCTGACCCGGCTCCACCCGGCCCAACCTGACCCGGTACCCCGCCGGTCCACCCTTCCTTACCTCCTCCCCCTTTCCCTTCTTCCCCCCTCATCCTCCCCTCCTCAGTTTCTCCTTATCTTACTTCTCCTTTATTCTCTCTTTATTCTACATGGACGACTTTCTCTGTATCAATGTGCAACTGACCCATCTGCAGCGTGCCCACAATGTACCCGGCCCGGGCACCTTGGGCGACTTCCCGCTGTGCCCAGCACGCGCGCCTGCACCGGATACCCTCGGGATCTCCCACGGAGACACCCGGGTGGTTACAGCTGTGTGCGAGGGTGACGTGGCATCCATCATGTGATCCAAGCCGCATGTATATAAACGAACCTGAAGTGGGAACCGAAGAAGTAGCCTTCTTCTCAACTTTCCACTTCAGGTAAGTAGTACAATATTTCTCCTTTAATCATAATAACAACTTTCCACTTCAGTCTAAGTGGCCAGGGACTACTGTCCCACATCGGGCCTGTCAGTACGCACGCCCGATCCGCCCCCCGCCAGGCTCTCGGTCCCGGATGCTATACCCGGACCCCCTCGACCCTGGACGAGTCCCTGACAGGGAAGTGGGACCTGCGGGTGTGTGGCCAGGCATCCTGGAGCTGCCTGGACCATATCCTTCTCCTGAGGAGGTGGGATAGGCTACAGTTCCTGATAGGGAACTTCTGGTTGGGTGGGAGTGGGCAGCAGGAGGTTGGGCATGGGAATGCCCTCCTCGTTGCAGTTTTGTCATGGAGAGGATGAATAGGGAGGTGGACATGGTTCCAGGGTTACAGGTTGAGTTTACAGTGGTGGCACAATGGTGAGGATGTTACAATCGTGGTACAAGGTTTGTGGGTTATGTATTTGATAATGAGAAAACATCTTGGCATTTGCCATACATGTCATATGACTTGTGTCTATCTAATACAAAGGTTGTAATGGCCAAGGGAAGTCCCTTGGAAATCAACAAATCCCCCAGCCAGCACCAAAACCCAGTGGGAAAGCTTGGCATGGGGTTTGGCAAAGAACAAAGTGAAGGGAAGGAATTGTCTTACCTGTGTGCATGGTCCATAGGAATCTCCATTTCCATAACATCCACCCTTCCGTCATCCTCCTACTCTTTGTCCATCCGCTCTGATACTCACCTTCGGACCTGACACCTCTCCTCTCCTC